GCATTGTGGGTGGTGGAAGGGCTAGCCTCTGTGTGTGGTGTTGTATAGCATTATCCCGGGCTGATTTCACACCCAGCATGACCGTATCCTCCGATCTCTGTTGCCTAAATGGAGGTTTATAGAGGTCGGGGGCTGTGGAGAGAGAGGCTCACTCAGACCCACACACATCGCTGTGTGTCATGGCTAATTTGTTAACCTGAATTGATTTTGCATGGTGCCCGGTATCACCACCAGAGAGCCACTTCATATATTTGACCTCTGTAGCGTCCCTCAGCCTTAAAGGAGGTTAGGAGAAAAATCAAATTTACCCAGTTCTGTCCTTCCCACCAATGTAGTTGATCAGCCTAAACATGTTTGGGGTCTGAAGTTTGCTTCTTTAGCACTGGAGCTGCGCCACTAATATAGATTATAATTAACAGAAGTATAGAACCACCAGTTAGCGTCATTCAAACTGCATGTCTGCATCATAACATAGTATTATGTAGGGACAAAATTCAAGCCTGAAGATGTATACTACTACTGTTTTTAATTGTGCAACATACTTGTGTCCATTTTTCCATTTTTATGCAAACCAAATTCCAAAAAAGCTGGGACAGTAGGTAAAATGCAAGTGGTGATTTGTAAATTCACTTTCATCTTTATTTAAATGAAAATAGTATAAAAATAAAATATTTAGTTCTTTTATTTTATTCTAAAGCTGAGGCCTGCAAAACCTTCCAAAATCGGGGGCAATTTAAAACAAGAAATGTAAAATTTTACTAAAAACATCTTATACAAGTGATGCAATTATGATTGGGTATAAAAGGAGCATCCAGGAAAGGCTGAGTCCTGTATGAGTGGGAGTGTGTTGGGACTCACCCTTTTGGCACAAAATGCATCTACGTTTAAAGAATAACTTTCCTCAATTAGCATTTGCAATGATTTTAGGTGGTTTTAGGTTTCGCCCTCTACAGTGCGTAAAATCATCCAAAGTTTCAGAGGATGTGTGCTAAGGGCAAGGCCGAAAACCAGTATTGAATGCCCATGACCGTTGATGCCTCAGCCAGCACTACTCTAAAAACCGCCATGCTTCTGTAATGAATACAACCACATGGGCTTGGGAATACTTTAGAAAATGCTTGCCAATAAATACAGTTGATTAAGAATCTACTTAAGCTATCTGCAAACATCCAGAAATGCTGCCAACTTCTCAGGGCCAAAGATCATCTGAGATGGACTGACACAGTGTGCTGTGGTCTAATGAGTCCACCTTCCAAACTGTTTTTGGTGTAACTGAATATCAAAAACTAGTATGTCTACATATGTCAAAAAAATGCTATGGAGTTTACATGACTGTATGTCATGACAACTAACGTTGATGGTAGCATAACACTATTACTGAACAAAATTCCAGTCCTGCCCTTCAACCTATTCCTTTAATGCTTCATTCTTTCAAGGAAGAGTTGAAAATTCTATTCTATGACCTCCTTTTGACCTGTGTTTGTTAATAGTTAGCTAAAGGCCACACTGGCAACGGCTTTGCCTTTATGTTGTTAAAGACTGGTATATAAGTTACCAGACAAATTTCACACTTCAGAAACCCTGAACCTTCCCATCAGCACCCACATCCTTCACTTCCTCTTCATTCTTCACTTCACTTCCACTTCTAGCTTTCATGAGTAGAGCGTGAAGGCAGATGTGTAAACATCGACCTGCATACACAAGGATGATGTGTCTCATGTTACCCAAAGCGCTCAACCAAGACATGTTTGGAAAGGTTTGCTGTTTCAGTTTTACACTGAAACCCATACCCCAACATGTAACACCATCAAGACTACATGCCTAAATCATTGCACTTTTACACCGCAAACTGTCAAGTTATTAAATAACCTCAAATAGATTATATGGTTTCTGACACTGTATGACATACTGTTACCCATGAAAGTATGTGGCATAGCTAAAAACACAATGCTAATTGTGTGGTATAAGCTTTCATTACTTGTTAGCTACTCATAGCTCCAGTGCACAACTGAAGAAAACATGTCTTAGCTCATCGACTACATTTGGGGTGAGAGGGAAATTGTGGCAAAGTGATTTTTCCACCAAACTATCACTTAAAACTTTTTTCCAGAGGCAAATTCGTCCACTCTGAACACATTTTCGAGTGGCCACGGTTCACTAAGCAGCTAAAATGCTAACTCTCCCCTCCTTTTCTCAGCTCGTTCCTTCAGGACTCTCTCATTACTCTGTAACTTAGCGTAAAATGGTGGTTTTGTCATTTATGGGGACCTTTACTCAGCCATTCACGCTGTGCGCTGGTGCATGGCTATGATGTCACCATGCATGAGTGTCATCCACAAAAGTCTATCATTATCAGCACCGCAACACTATTTAATCTCTGTCTTTCTGTCTGTGGCCTCTGGCTAATGCTAATAATTGCTAAGAGTCTGTTCTACAGCATATATTTACATGCTTGCTAATCTTCACTGCATACTTATGCTGTGTTGTGCTATTATATGCCATTATTGGCAAGCATGTTGAGACTAAAGCTGTGTTTACATTATGATAGTAGATGACGGCAAAATAGAGGCTACATGCTTTTAATACACATCGCAGCAGTCAGCTGAATGTTCCATATAGAGTTTATAGAGGTGTTAAATTTAATGGAAACATAGATGCTGAAAGGTCGCAGCTGAAGTTCAGGTGTACCTGCTCAAAAGAGTTGCCACTTCAGCAATGCAAAGTTCCTGGACACTTAATCAGTGACTTGATTTCTTACTACATTTTAAGGTAGACAGAAGCCACAGAACCTAATCTTCTCAGTTATTGTGTTGCAATGCGTCCTAATGCCAGGAGTGCAACTTCCCCACACAGTTGCCCCTACATCAAAGGAAGTCTGAACCAATCAAACCAGAGAATTTGTGGTCAGGAGAATTGCCACTCAATGATGTTTGAATGAATGGGCTCCAGTGGAGCTTTTGTGCAAAATCAAAATTGGTAAATAATTTTTATGTCTAAAAATAGACAGATTTTCAGAACACAGAACAGCATAAAATATTTCAACCCTGCTATTATATTGTTGAGCACTTTTGAACTATAATTATATACAATTATACTTCATAATAGCGACTTGTGTGTTCATGACGTTAGTGCAAACTGCTCCACTCAGCCAAAGAGCTGATCAGCTCATCAAGCAGTCAGCACTTAGTAGCTGTAATGCCAACCGATCAGGACTGAGTAGCAGTAATGCTCACTAATCAGCACTCAGTAGCAGTGATGCCAACCAATCAGCACTCAGTAGCAGTAATGCCAACCAATCAGCACTCAGTAGCAGTAATGCCAACCAATCAGCACTGAGTAGCAGTAATGCCAACCGGTCAGCACTGAGTAGCAGTAATACTCATTAATCAGCACTCAGTAACAGTAATGCCAACCAATCAGCACTCAATAACAGGAATGCCAACCAATCAGCATTCAGTAACAGTAATGCCAACCAATCAGCTCTCAGTAGCAGTAATGCTAGCATCTGATGGCCCAAAACATATTTGCTGTAGAAAAACAGAAAGATGCAATAAAAGTTTTCTTTGATATTTTAATAAAAACATCCTTCTACTTTCTACATAAGTTTAATGTTACATTTTTCATTTTTAGCCGTTTAGCTTCATTCACTCTCATTAACTGAGGACTTGCTTGCAGGTGTCTTTGGGCATTTTGCAATCATGTTTTTGATATAACGGGAAAACAAGAAGTGGCCAGACTTCCCTTAAACCAGCTGTGATCAAACTAATTATTTGAAGTGGTTTGATTGGACGAAAAGAAGCAGTTAATAAGATAATAAGAAACGCTAATATATGAAAACACTTGGATTATTATGTCCAGACGTTCATTTTTCCCGGACAGACGGCCAAAATACAGGACGATCGAGAAAAATATTTGACTGGTGACCACTGTACCACTCACATACAACAAAACAAAACTTCAACAAAAGCACACCATAAAAACATTAGTGTTTAAAGGGGAACTCCACCGGTTTTCCAAAAATTCTGCATAACTTAATGGTTATGATGTAAACAAAGTCATTCAGGGTGGTTTGCTGTGAACTGCTCCGTGGCAGAATTGTTCACAGTGGTGGTGATAGGAACCAGACATCCACCTCTAAAAGCTCCCTCACAGATAACATTGTAAGATAACATCATAGCCCCCCACACAGGCAGACCCACCACATTAGACCAGCAACACTGTCACCATGGCAACATTTACGTGATGTTTACAACTACGAATAACTGCTGTGAAAGAGGGAGAAAAAGAAACCTTTTACGCCATCTGTCATGACTAGCATGATTTAAAAGTCTACAAACCCAGAAAAACATTCCGGTCACAAGACGACACAAACTGTATAAGGACACTGTTACCTATTAAAGCGATAGTTTAGACAATACGACCCGATTTAATCCAAATCCCGTTAGTCAACCAAAACGTTTGGTCTGAAGTTTGCTTCTTCAGTTTTGCACTGCAGCTATGAGGCTAATATAGCTAACAAGTCATGGAAGCTTATAGTCCACCAATTAGCATCATGCAAACTGCATGCAGGGTCATAATTTCTGTTATGAGTTAAAGTAAAAATGTAAACTTACAGAATATTCCACGTATGAGACGTTAGTTGTGCTTTGCACAGGCCTAATAAGCGTTAATTAGCATACATTATCATAATTTTCCACTAAATAAGCAAAGAAATTTACAAAAATGTTGACCTTTCTGAACATGAACCAGATTTGTAATATATATATATTTACAATGTCTATTTCGGTTCATTCATTGGGTTGTTTGGTCATCTGAAAAAGAGCTGATTATGTGGTTTATGACACAAGCAAGTGTACTTTTTGTATATAAAATGTCTAAATTGGCTTTTTCACCAAACTGTTCCTCTAATCCATTTAGTCAATAGACTGCAGACTGGATTCACCTGTTAAAACTGTGCAGTAAATCTGAATGTGTGTGTGAAATGAGGTGTATTTACTTACCTTCTCCTTCTTTTCCTTCTGTTCTTCCTTTCTGTCTGTGCTACAGGTCTCGCCTCTTACACCTCTCTGTTTCCCTCAGCAGAGTGTCAGACTTCCTGTTTTACTGCATCACTTCATTCTGAGCCACTCTCAGTTCAAACTGCCCAGTCAAATGTAACCCAGTTACTGTCCTACGGTCAGCAGCAACCAATGAGAATAAAGGGAATCCTGAGAGAGAGAGAGAGAGAGAGAGAGAGAGAGAGAGAGAGAGAGGAGGGGGAGTGAGAGGAGAGGGAGAGAGAGGAGAAAGAAAGAGAGTGAGAAAAGGGAAGAGATAAATGAGACAGAGGGAGAGTGAAAAAGGAAGAGAGGGGAGAAAGAGATATAGTAGAAAAAGAAAGAAGAAAGATGATGTGGAAAGAGAGAAAGTGAGGAAAGAGAAAGAGACAGAGAGAAAGAGGGATAAAGGAAAGAGCGCAGGAGAGAGAAAAAGGACAGAAAGAGTGTGTGAGAAAAGGGGAGAGATAAAGGAGAGAGGAAGAACGAGAAAAGGACAGAGGAGAGAAAGAGATACAGTGGAGAAGGAAAGAAGAAAGTGAGAAAGAAGAGAAAGAGAGAGAGACAGGGAAGGAAAGTGAAGAAAAAGAGAAAGATAAAAGAGAGAGGAAGAGGTAAAAAGAGGAAAAAAGAGTGCAAAAGAGGACAGAGAAAGAGGAAAGGAAGAGTGGGTGAGAAAATGGTCAGATAAAGGAGAGAGAGAGGGGAGAGAGAAAGACAAAAGGGAGAGAGGAGAGAGAGAAAGTGAGGAAAAAGAAAGACAGGGAGAGTGAGAATGGAAAGAGAAAGACTGAGAAAAGGGACAGTAGGGAGAGGAGAGAGAAAATGAAAGAAAGAAAGAAGAGAGAGATAAAAGGGAAGCAGAGAGGGAGAAAAGAAAATGAGAGTGAGAAAGGAGAGAGATAAAAGAGAGAGGGGGAGAGAGAATGAGAAAGAGAAAGGAAGAGAGGAGAGAGATACAGGAGAGTAAAAAAGAAGAAAAAGGAAGGAGAGGGAAAAAAGAGGGAGGGAGAGAGGGAAAAAAGAGAGAGAGACTGAGATAAAGTGAGGAAACAGGGACAGAGAAAGAGAAGGGAGAGACAGAGAGAGAAAGTGAGAAAACAGAAAGAGAGAGAGAGAGCAAGAGGGAGCAGAGAGAAAAAAAAACAAAAGGAGAGGAAGAGAAAGATAAGTTAAGGGGTAAAGGAGAGTAAGTAAGAAGAAAGAGAGCGAGAATAGGGAGAGAAAAGAAAGAAAGAGAGGAGAATGAAGTAATTGAGAGTGAGAGAAAAGAAACAGAGAGGAGAGATAAAGCAGAGTGAGTGAGTAAGGAAAAAAGAGATGAAAAGGGGAAGGACAGAGAACGAGAGAGAGAGAGAGAGACAGACAGAGAGAGGGAGGGAGGTGCGATAAAAGAAAAAAAAAGAGGAAGAAAGAAGATGAGAACAGAGAGACAGCGTGCGAGAGAGAGAAACAGAGAGAAGGAGGAAGAGAGAAAGAGAGAAGGAGAGATGAATGAGAGGAGAATGAAAGAGAAAGAGAGGTGGGAGAGAATGGGAAAGGAGAGTGAGAGAGATAGAGAGAAGGAGAGAGAAATAAGAAGAGAGAAGAGAGAGAGAGAGAGAGAGAGAGAGAGAGAGAAATTGAATTGAACTGAATTGAACTGAAAGCCTGCACTCAACCACTGCTGCCAGAGCTACTCACTTCATCTCTGGAGATTTGCAAGTGAATAAACAATCCAAATGTATTGGTCTCAGTTTGTGTGTGTGTGCGTGTGTGTGTGTCTGTCTGTGTGTGTGTGTTTTGGTGGAGCGCGAGTAAAGAAGTCAAGCGAGGTAAAACTGAGGCTAAAAAGTTATTCTGTTTGTTGCTTTCTTGCTAAACCTGGTCCTCCTGCATCTTAATGAACCTGTTAGAGGAGTGAAGGGATTCACAATGGACGAATCTCAAAGTTACGTCAGATTAGCGCATTAGCCACGACTCGGCAAAGCAATTAGTTTCACAAATCAGCGTGAAGATTGAGGAAATGAGGTGCGTGAGCAAACACAGGCAATTTGTCATGGCCATGCGGAACACATCTGATGCTAATAGCAACCTGTGTAGCTTAAGCCACATGAAAATAGTCATGGAATCGGTAAAGTGGTCCAGGCTGTGTCACCGTGGCCACTGAGAGCGTGACTGTGTGATTAATGCCAGTAATGTGGATTAATTACATTTCGATCAGCGGCTGTTATTGTTTGATGTGTGGAATAACATTTGTTTTTCTATGCTTAAAGCTACAATTTGGCAAAAAGTCAAACCTTTGAGTGAGTTTGCTTTGATAAAATCAGCTCTTATGGAATTAAAACAGTGTTGATCTAAGAAAATATGAACCACGGTTTGCCATTCAGCTCCTAGGAAATAAATGTTTTGATTAAAAAGGGATGATGAAAGTGCATGTAAATTAAAAACATATGAAATGATTTGATAGTCATTTATCTAATAAGAATGTTTTGGCATTTTGCAGCATTTATTATTAAACTTTAATTTCATTTTTATTGCTTGGCTCATTCATCATTTACATTAGCCATTTCTATATTACTTCTTACTTCTTACTTATTTCTATATTACTTGAGCTATTTTTGTTACTTCCACTTGATGCATCTTTGTCAGGTAGAAAGTTCTGTCCACCTACTCTCAGTGAATCGTGACTGTCTACTGCTGCTGTTCATATAGAAGCAGGCTTACCATGTATTCTGCACTTCATAATGCACCACATATTTTCAATAGGAGACAGGTCTGGACAGCAGACAGGTCAGTCTAGCACCTGCACTCTCCAATTACGCTGTCATGCTGTAGCATGTGCAGAATATGGCTTGGTGTTGTCAAGATGAAAAAAACATGGATGTCACTGAAAAAGACGGAGTCTAGAAGGCAGCCTATGCTGCTCAAAAATGTGGATGGTTCAATCTGCCGAACTGGTTCAAAGTCATCACTACCTAAACTACCTAAACCAAATGTTTCAGTAGTGACTGTTTTGGTAGTCAAGATTTAACTAATTTTGATAAGTGAGCAAAAATGCTAGTCTGTACATGACTAGCAATGACAACTTTGAACACATAAAATGATATTTTTATTAAAACACAAAAAGATTTTGCAGAAAATGTGTTTCAGTAGTGACAGTTCTTAATGTTGGCCACATGTTGAGCAGATCTAACTGTTCACCACGCTCACCATGTGACCAGGGACAGGGATGCAGTCTCACTTCCTGCTCTAAAATGCAGGGATGTGGCTAAAATAAGGCTCTGCCTAAGGATTAAAACTTGTGACATGAAAATGTGGGACAGCATTTTTTTAATTACCTTTTTTAAAAAAATAAACTCACTTTAAAAGAAATTTAAAAAGGTCTTAAAAAACATTGACAAATCAAAGTATTCTTTTCATAGGTTGAAATTTAGTAAAATAAGCATTGATTCAGCTTATTACTATCTCAATTCATGCCTTGGATGTAAATAGATCATAACATAATTCTTGTAAATATCTAAGATCTGTTTTTTTGTAATTTGAACTAATTAGGTAGAATGGTCCATGTATATCTTTCAGTGTTAATGGTGCCTTTGCAAATGTACAAGTTATGTATTCTGTGATCATTAATACCATCGCCCATGAGAGACCCTGGCTTTTGAACTTATGCTAGTAACAGTCTGGATGGTCTCTTTTCTTTCTTGGCCCTGAGAATGTGAGGTCCATTATTTCTGAAAGTTTGACTTGTCAGACTACAATACATGTTTCCACTGTGCATCAGTACATTTCAAATGAGCCCACAGAAGTTGCCAGATGTCATTTCTGGACGTTATTGACATAAATTGCATTTGTTATTGCAGCTATGAATGCTATTTATTGACAGTGGTTTGTTAAAGTATTCCAGAGCCCATGTGGTGACCTTTATGCAGAGATTTCTCCTGATTCTTTGAATCATTTGATGATATTTTGCTCTACAGAAGGTGATATACTTAAGATCAGTGCGTTCACATGCTGAGGAACATTGTTCGGAAACTGATTACTTACATTTTTTTTGCAAAGTGGCAAGCCTCAACCCATCTTGGCTCATGAAGGACTAGGCCTTTCCTGGATGTTCCTTTTGTACCCAAGCATGACTGCATCACCTTTTTAAGGTATTTTTTCAGGTATTTCACAACATTCCTAATCTTAAATTGTCCCTGTCCCAACTTTTTTAGACATGTTGCAGGCATCAGTTTCAGAATGAGCGTATATTTACAGAAGACAGTGAAGTTGATAAGATTAAAAATTAAAGATCTCATCTTTGTACTGTTTTCATTTAAATGCAGGTTAAACTGAATTTACAAATCACTGCGTTCTGTTTTTATCAGCATTTCACATACTGTCCCAACCTGTGAGTATTTTCCCAAACTATCGCTTTAATGTCAGAAAGTTTTCCCTATCACTTGCTCACACTTTATCCTTCTTTTCCTCCTGCTCTTCACTCTCTCCTCCGCTCTGCGGCTCTTTAATCTTCCTGACAGGCTAATTTACTCTGTTTCTGCAGCTTCCCCTAAAAATACAGATGAGGGCCCATTGTCCTCGGTCAAAGCAGATGGTCAAAAGGTTTCTCTCTTCATCAGCCCAGTGCCCCTACACCCCCCCATCTGAAACGACCCCCGCCAAACCTCCCCCACAGCCCATTCCCTCCTTTCAATATGTTCTCCTCCCATTTGGCAGGCCATTCTTCTCTGCTAGACCTTCTGAACCGCTTTGTCTCTTTGAGGGTCCGGCTGGTTAGCGCCCTCACCAATCTGTCACAGCACGCTTGGCTAAACACTCAGAAAAGCCACAGTCGCCCCTGTTGTGTAAGAGAAAAGTGATGTGTGTGGCTGATTCTGATGGCATTCTAGCTAAACGCACCGTGGCGTCCTGAGCAGAGTGGAGGAATTAGCGAGAAAAATGCTAACTAGCAGAAGGAATGCGATGCTAACTAGCAGAACGAATGTGGCGCTAACCAGCAGAACGAATGTGGCTGACTTTTTACGGGATTTTATAGGAATGCTGAGGCCCCTTTGAGAGTAGATGGTGCGGAGGGGTTAGTATTAACATGATCCCAGTGG